TATCAAAAAAGGAAATATATACTCAACACTTTAAGAATCTTGATAGGCTTTGGCTTACAAGATTTATCAAATGAAAAGAGGCACATCTTTTGGCCCACTAAGAAGGGATATGATTATTGCACCAACACAGGAAGAAACTTGAAACTCCATGAAGATAATCCCATGTTGTTAACCTTAGAACAAATCCATCTTTTTGGTAGCCCTTTTTGTGCCTCGTCGATTGAGCCTTATCTGTTCAACCTACATTATTCCAAATCTAGGGATGGGAGTGGTGCAAAGAATCATAAATGAAAAATATTAGGGGAACGAAACATAAGAGTGGGACACAAAGTTGGTCTAAACCCAAAAAAGAAAGATCCAGTGCAAAAGGAAAAAATTGTTTTAAACCCGAAACCAAACTTGCCAAAAAGGAAAAAAAAAAAGAAAGAAAAAAGGAAAAGGCAAGAGAAAAGCACCGAATGTAGGAGTTTTCAAACAGACTACGAAGGTTTTAATTTGAGAAGCACCAAAAGCAAGGGATTAAGAGAATACACTTGAGGTTGTCCATTCTTCAAAACCCAAATCCTAGCAACGTTACATAACCTTGGAAAGACCCTCCTTAAGGTAGACCATAACCATGTACCACAAAAGCCATTATTCTACAGAAATATGGCCCACCTTAGGCCTTTGCACATATGGACCTAATATTGAGTAGTTATGCCCATACATAAAGTGTATGAAGTGTTGATCAATGATTACAAAATCGAAAAAAAACAAAAGAATTTGGATGATTTAATAGTCGTTGGCTTGATTACATCATTACAGTAGAGCACTTGAACCAAATTTGTATATTCGATGCTTTCCATATCTTTTGCCAAGAATATTAAGATGACTATTACTTCAAAACAATCATCTTATTTTCTAATAGGGCTATTTATTACTAAGGTGATTTAAGTCCTGTATACATTGCCTATCTAGAAAGAAAACGAGTGAATAACAGTGAATTGATTTGATATATTGACAGCCTCGACATCAACTTTAGATGTCTCTTACACTTCTTGAGCATTATCCATCTCATTTAGAGCAATTAATATGGCCGCCTGCGTGGGATATCTTCATCCTCTCTAAGCGAGGAAAATTGATTGAACATGATCGCTACATGAAAAAATGATTGTTATCACTATTACATGTATACCTCATTGCCAAGTCATCACGATGGTTCAACTATTAAGTCAATAATCCTTGATTTTCAAAAATATGTTTAATTCTCTTTCCTTATGGGAACGTTGGATCCCTCTTCCCTTTCAAGCAAATTCGTCTTTGTTTTTTTTCATTTCTATTTTTTTTTTGGGGGGGGGGAGTCGGGATGATACCTCCCATTTGGCAACTAAGATACCCAAAAGATGGTATGATTTTTCTCCCTTTGCCTCTAACTGGGGGCTAAAAAAGCTAGGACATCCCCATTTCCCTCTATTTACAGATTTGAACACGCTAAATATGTTATGAAATCAATGTCAAGCAAAGCTTATTACGAACCACATCTTAGTAACTTTAAAAGACAAAGGGAAGAATATTACTTTCTATTATTTGACCAAGATAAGTATGTTCTTTAATCAAACAATTCATGATAAACATATGCAAAATTCCATGAATTGGAAACACAAATTCCAGGGGCTTCGAATATGAGAAATGTCCCCTAACACATGTATACATGAATTCAAAAAGCCACCTAAGTCTACACTTGGGGGCTACAAAAACGTAGGTCTATCCTAACCTTTGTTTTGAATTTGGACCATATTTATTTTTGGAAAGTGATTCCAATGATTTTATAAGTTATCCTAACACTCCATCAAACCTAAGTTTGATAATATTCATTTTCAAACTACGGTGCCTACTTAATTGAGAGAACTTCACTTTCAATTAGAAAAATGGATGATGATGGCAAACATAAAAAAAATAAAAAAATAAAAAAAAAAAAAAGACGACAAGATTAGATGTTTGCTCACATTTCATATCATCAATGAAATAAGTTGCAATTACAACTCATTGATTTTGGACGTAATAAGAGTCATACACAATTACGAGCTAGGCTCCTATTTCCATTTTGGGTCCAGTTTCGAAAATAACATGTTTATGTATTTTGTGTACTAGAAATAGTAGCTTTACTTTTATTTTCAAAACAAACTTTCATTTAATTGAATTTATTGGACCATTTCCATTTTTTGAATTATCTTTCGAAATAAAGTGTTTCCTACTCTCTAAAAAAAATAGTCTTCAAAATTCCCTTTCTGAAATTTGTTTCATTTTCTCAAAAGAAATGAATTTTCAGATTTTCCATAACCTTTTGGACAATATACATGCATATACATAAATATTTCCAAAAGGAATGAACTAGATTCTACTTCTTCTTAACTTGAACTAGTTCTCGCTTAGTTATCCTGCGAATATTGGCTTAGGGATGGTTAACAAACCACCTACTAGACGAAAATCGAAGATTGATAAGAACCTTTGAGAATAATCTTACCTCAATGATCTCTACAATGTTTTGACATTAGGTAAAGTTTACTAAACCTTAACTACTATTGTTTTTTGTTTATAAACAAGTAAAGAACCAACTTGCTTCCTTAAACATGACTTTAGCTAAAAATGCGTAAGCCATGTCACTATCCTAAATGTCTCAAAACACAAAACATGGGATACATAGACCCATTTCAACATCATGATTATATAAATGGCCTAAACAATGGCAAGTCGTTGGAACTACACAAAATTAGGGGCTCCAACACTTGAGAAATAGCAAGGATGCGCATAACCTGACACATGGGGGCTCTAATATCCACAATAAATAAAATAAGATATTCATGCCATTCGAGCTCTTTCGAGAATCACCTAAACTGTAAATAGTTTACATAGATCTCGATCCTTACAATTTTCAAATGCATCGCTGTAGACACCTAAAATGTCTCCCCAAAACTAAACCCGATGATGAACAACCTTTCACCGCCAATATTGATCGGGTTGCGTATTGAATTTGTAGAGTGCTTAAAATTCTTTTTCAATCAAACACAGTTTACAAATCAGTCCACATTTTAAGTCCAAGTATTTAGTTAAGCATTATTTAATCCCTCATTTCAGCCTAATCCATATTAATCCATTTCAATTATTTAGCCCAATATAAAACCCTAAACCTCAAATGAGTCTGGAATAGCTGAAACAGCGCCCAATGGTCATGTGCTTTTAAAGAAAATAAGATAAAAATGAATTTAAAAGAATTTTCCAGAAACACAATTGCCGCCCCATGGCAGTTTCTACTGTGCCACGGTAGTTTATACCGTGCGACAACAATTCTCTTTTCCCAATTTTATCTTTTTACGCGCTTTTAACTTTTAAAATGATATAATTTACTACCTCACTATGATACAACTACTGTGCCATGGAAGAAATGTCGTACCACGGCACACTATACCGTGCAACGGCTAATATGTCGTACCACGACGCATTATTCTGCTACGGCGCCTCATTTCTAGGGTTCTGGCGCACTTCGAATGACGCCTACAATTTGCGACTCCACTGGGGAGGATTCTTGGTTACTTATCGATTTGAGTGATCGGTATTTAATTAAGATGAGTATGAGACTTGAAAGATTCTTGAATCGTATTCCTGTGATTAAATTGGCATTTTCGCATATGCATTGACGTTTTAACGTCATATTTAGGTTCGCCTCATAGGAAAAATCGAATAACTTGATAGCAATCGAAAAAACAAAGCACCTTCATAAATTTTTGAGCTCGGCGCAACGACACAACTACCGTGGCACGGCACAGATTACCGTGGCGCAATATTCTTTACCGTGGCATGGTGGCCAGTATCGTGGCACAGTAATTCTGAAATTATTTTAGTGGTTCTGCTTTTTTTCTCGTTATTAGCTTCCTTCATTTTTTCTGAAAACCGTATATGTTCTACATACGTTTTAGCCCCAGGGGGGTTTAAACTCTATTAACCCGAAAATGCTCCAAGAAATAAGGGTTCATCCGAGTTTTCAAATCCACCCAAACCGTAGAGCCGATTCGATTTCATAACGAACTCGCGGAGCCGCCCTTTGGCATACACCCTCAAGGGAGACTGTCTTGCTAACGCGTCCAAACTCTTAACCGTGGTACCTTTTTGACACCCAAATAACCTTGAGCATAGTGGAACATAGAACTTGACTTTAGGTTGCGAACTTCATTGCATCATCGTGACTATATGTTACTTGGCATCATTGACGTGTTTTCTAACCTCATGTATGTTTGTTCCTCTTGTTAATTTGACTAACGTAAGACCAAGGGATTTTATTCCACATAGTAATTAGTACAGACCTTAAAATAGAATAAAAAAACTAGAAAAAAACATAAAATTGACCCTGGAACTGAGTACCGCGCCACGACAAAAATTTTGTGCCATGGCAGTTGGTACCGTACCACGGTACTGATTGCCGTGTGACAACAGTTGTGCCATGGCGCGGAACCTAGGGGAGGTTTCAGTCAATTAGTTTTGGTCTTCCGTGCTTGTTTTTGTGGTTTGTGTACGTCATCCAGTGTTGCGTCTAGTTGTACGGTCATAACACGCGTCTCATAACCTCACTTAATCACTCACAAGTCAAGTATAGTCCACACACTTTATTTTTACTGAATTTGTATAATACATCAGGGTGCACCATGCTCATGGTGCACCTGGTGATGTGGCATAATTAATTGAAATCAAATTATTGGAAAATAAAAAATAAAATAAAATTTCTGGGCGAAATTAGAGGGAATTATTCCGTTTAAACTGCTTTCAGTTTTTAATTATTATCCTTAATTGACATTTTCCATTTTTAAAACACTTTAGAGAGAGAAAATTACAGAGAGCAATAGATTTAATTTCAATCTTCAATTGGTTTCCAATAATTTGATTCCACTATAATAATGTTTATGAATCCGAAAAATACGGAGAGAAATTTATCGACCGATCAATAGAATTCTTTGTAGAAGAGGTTAATAATGGTTTTTCGATCCGAATTTCGCCATTATTCTAATGCTAGATTTGTTGGTGATGATGATGATGATATCAACAATGAAGGTGAATTCGAGATTATCGTAAACGAAAATGAAGGTAAATTGTTTAATCAATGATCTTTTCATTTGTTAATTCTTATTTTTTATTGTTAAATTTAGGTATTATTGATAATTTAATTTATTATCGATTTATAAATATATATTTATTTTTACAGCAATATGTTTAAGGTTGAAGATGAAGTTATTTTATTATTTAGCTATGTTCTTTTATTTAACTTATCATATCTATTAGTGTTGAAATCAATGTTGATATTATATGAAAAACCCATGTACATTTGCTAAATATATATGTACTTTGTTTTACTTTTTATGTACTTTTGCTGAAATCAATGTTGATATTACGCATATACATTTGCTAAATATATATTTACTTTGTTGCACTCTTTATATAATTTGCTAAAATCAATGTGCTGAAATCAATGTGTATATATTAAAAAATATTAGTGACATATCCAAGAACGTTATTTATATATTAAAGAACATTATTGATATATTAAAGAACATACTTTTGTAAAATAAATAATAATAAAAAAATTAAAAAAAAAACATATTTTGATATTAACAAATACATATATTGATCTAGTATTTTAGTTTTTACCGAGGCAAGTGAATCAGAATTGTTTGACAGAAAAGTTAAGTCTAATGAAGAGGCTTATGAGCTGTATAATAGTTATGCATTTAAACACAGTTTTGGTATACGTAAGGGTAAGTTGAATCGTAGAGAAGACAAAGTTACAATACGACAACGCTTTTTGTATGTTCTTTTGCTGGCTTTAAATAAGAGAAGAAACCTGGCGAAGAACCAAAAGTTTACCAAAAGAGGAATTTTCGCACAGGTTGCAAGGCACATATTCAATTTGATGTTGATAAGAATTCTGGTTTGTTTATCGTGGTCAATCACATTATGGATCATAATCACAGTAGGGTTCCTATTTCAAAGAGACATTTGATTAGGTCTCATAGGAAGGTAAAGGAACATTCTATTTTTGATCTTTTTCAATGCTAATAACGTAATAAGTTCTTTGCTATTAACATTATGTTCTCTTTTGTAAGTAATATGTTCTTTTTGATACAGGTCAGTGAGGAACAAATTGCCATGCTTAGCAGTTTGACTGAGAGTAGTATACCTATTGCTGATGCAGTGCGCGTTTTAAAACATCAAGCTGGTGGTGAGGCAAATCTTAGTTTTCTTTGTAGGGATGCATATGGTGCGTTATCTGCCCATAAGAAAATGAAGTTTGATGGATGTGATGCAATGCAACTTCTTAGCTACTTTAAGGGTAGTAAATGCAATGAATATGACTTCTATTATGATTTTGATGTCGATGAGAAAGGTCATTTGGAGTCTTTCTTCTTTCGTGATAATAGAATGAAGGTAGATTATGATGCCTTTGGAGACTTGTTGGTTCACGATACGACATATCGTTCAAACAAATATGGTATGATATGTGGTTCTTTCGTTGGCATGAACCATCAAATAATGTTATGTTTGGGATTGGCTTTTTTATCAATGAAAAATGGGAGTCATTTGTGTGGTTGTTTACCACTTGTCTGAAATCTATGGGGGGGGAGGGCAAACAACCAGTGACAATAATGACTGACCAAGCTGAAGCAATGGCCAAAGCAATAAGCATTGTTTTTCCAAATTTCCGACATCGTTTATGTACTTGGCATATTCGGGAGAATTCAAAAAAATATCAAAGGACTAAAGGCCAAGGAAGGTTTTAACGATTTATTTGATATTTTTTTGAAATACACAGATACTATTCAGGAATTTGAGCATTATTGGTCAAGGTAATATTATGTGTTTTTTTATATTTAACTGTGTTCTTTTTTTTATACGTCAACATGTTCCTTTTTATAACAACAATATTCTTTTTTATAAAACAATAAAGTTCTTTGTGTTATTTTAATATAACATTATTTGGCATGACAAGAAACTTTAACATGTTCTTTTTTATAACAACAATGATCTTTTTTTAGATAATACATGATGTTCTTAATACGTTATACTTATAATTTGCTATTGTCATCAATTTATTTATATATGTTCTTTTATTTAACAATAATGTTCTTTATGTAGTCTTTAATGTTCTTTTGAAGCATGCTGAATAAGTACAAATGCACAGATAACAAATGGCTTCAAAATCTGTATAATATCAGAGAGATGTTGTGTCCTGCATATTCCAAAGATTATTTCAGTGGTGGTGTTATATCATCTCAGAGAAGTGAAACCACAAACAAGTCAGTTTCTCGTAGACTTCATGCTACTCATGGTCTTTGTGATTTCTACACTTCTTTTATTGAGGTTGTTGATGAGTGGAGGAGCAAAGAAGGTAGTAATGATTATGATAGTTTAACTGGTAATCGACATCTAGTATGGGCATATATTGGGATTTTGGAGCATACAAGGAGGATTTCTACAATCCAAATTTATATACATTTTGAAGATAATTTTGTGAGTGGTGTTCCTTGCACAGCTAAGGTCATAGGAATGCAACCTCCTCTTTATGAATATCACATGGGGCATCCCAAAAAAGATCTGCTTATGCATACAGTTGCGTTTGACGAATCAACTGTCACAGTTGATTGTACTTGTAAGTATTTTGGTGAGGTTGGTCTACTATGTAAGCACTTACTTCGTGTCCTACACTTGAACAATGTTACTTATATACCTAAGAGGTACATTTGTAAGAGATGGACAAAAAGTGCTATGTGCACATGGGTTGATGATAATGTGGTTGTTGTAAAGGGTGTCACACCTTCTAGTGTATGGACATTGCATTTTATTCGAACTTTTATTGGACTTGTTGATTGGGCGCAAAATGACTTAGGTGCTCGAACAGTCATTGAGGAAGCAATAGATGAGTGTTCTAATAGGATCAATCTTTTACTGATAAAAGATAAAGATGAACCTCAAGAATCCTTGATAACTGATCAACATGATGCTGCTCCAGATAAAGGTGAAGGCAACCTTTTAGAACCACAAAATTTTGAAGAAGAAGTTCTTGAAAAAGAGGATGTTGTGGAAGAAAAACCTACAGTTGATATTGAAGTAAAAATCCTATCTAAAAGAGGAAAAGGGGGCAAAAAAAAACAGCAGATTGAAGAGCACCCAAGAAAAGATTTGCAACAAGCTCATGGGTCAAAAGATTAAGTCATGGAAAAAGAAAAGTACGAAAGGGGTTTCAAAAATAAGACAAAAGGCTCAAACTACGATTAAGGTAATTTATGCCTTATGTTCTTTATAATATTTGATTTTTTTTTTGTTGAGGTTAAATGTTCTTTTTGTTAAGTTACATTGTTCTTTTTACTAATACAATGCTTTTTCTTTTTTGCAAGGATTTTTTGGCTGTCCTTGAAGGAAATATTCTAGCACATTTAACAGAGTTTGGAAGTTCTTTGGAGGTTTTTGAGTCTAACGAGTATTTTGGAGTGAATGTTATACGCTCATCAAATTAAGAATTCATTGATATTTGTTTACTGCTCAAGATTTGTATGTTTATGCTACACATTTTTTTTAAAGAACATTCTATTTCAGTTGAATCTTTGTTGCAAGACATATTGTTTAGAAATTATTATAATAGATTTCTTTTGAATTTCTTTGTATGAAATTTTAATTCAAGCTATAATAATTCAAACTTACTACTAGTTTTGATAGAATTTCTATTGTATAATAAATTAACTAGTGCTATTATTTACATTTTAATTACTAAATAAGCTAAAATAACATGACATATTTAACGGAACATTTACATAAATAAATAAAAAGAACGTTTAACTTAACCAAAAGAACATTTGCATAAATAAAAAATAACATTGCATATATTTAAAAGAACGTTTAACTTATTTTAGAGATGATAGTTAAATTTACAAAGCATCATTTCTTCAAATTCAAAATGCAATTTAAGATTAATTTTTGCAATAACCCAATTTCAAGTACAAAAATTGTTAGAATTGACCCCCAAAAAAACCACTTTCACTTGTTCAGATGTAAGCAACACAATATTCACTAATTTTTGCTTATTGCATTGTAATATTTTCTAGCCTTTACGCCAACATCTGCCTTATTTTTGTTGAGATTGTCAACAATAACCTCATACGTGTACCGCATCCTAAGACTCTTCAATAATATTATTAGTGAATGTAATTAGAATAAAATTGCATGATACATTAATATACATCTTACATTATCAACTCTAAGGCCACAATTCCATCTTCGCTTTCCAAAGTACGTCTTCATGTGGCGCATTGTGTATATGCTGCAATCAACATTGTTGTTTAAAGTTCTCCATGGCATTTCAACCAATTTGACAATATATGTTGGCATTTTCTCCCCTATCTTGATTTCATACTTGTTCAAGTACATTGCAAAGGCATCCCTCTATTATTAACAATTAAAGAACACAACAGCTATTTAAAAGAACAATACATAAAATAATAAAGAACGTAAAGTTTATATTATAATAATAAAAAATTAAAAAAAAAATTAAAAAATAAACTAACTATTTTCTCTGGATAGTGATGATATTTTTCCTCAAACGGAACACCCTCTACAAGCGATCTGTTATTCAGAATTTCAACACACTTTGACTTTGTGTTTATAACCATGACATAAAAGTGGTCATGTGCATACACAGGGAAAAAGAACTGTAACAATTCAAAAAGAAAAAACAATATTTAATTAACATTAAATAACATTTTATATTAGAAAGAACATGTTGTATGAAAATAAAGATCATTGTGCAACTTATATATATATATATATATATATATATATACACACACATTATGTATGAAAAAAAGGATCATTTTTAATAATTATACGACTTACCAATTGATATCCTTGAACAGATTCTATTTTGCTATATATCAATTAATCAAATTTCGGTACTTTCAGTGAATTTATTGAGCCTAATACCAGCTAGAGGTACTTGACTATCATCAACGTATGATTCATTCAAGCATAACAAGTTCTATCATACAAAAATAAAAAATAAAAAATAAAAAAATCAAAATCAAATTAATAATATGTTCAAAGACATAATGCCACAACAGGAGGTCATTATAAAATGAACTACACTTACAAAGGCTTCGTTCGAGAAGAACACCCTCTTTTTATCATCAATTGCATTCCTTGCATTGAGGACGAGACTCCAAGCATCAATTATGTCGTTGTAGATGTAGACATTGTCACCAAGTGTTTTGACCAATTTTCTTGTCAAAAATGAATGTACATCATCATATAAAAGCTCACTACATAAAAAGAAACAAAATAAAGAAATCATAAAAGTATAAACATTAGAACATATAATCTAACATATTCACTTGAATAAACAAAAAAAAATATGAAAAAAAAAGCATTAATTATCATACTCTTTATCAAGTTCACTTGAATAAACATATTCTAGTAACGCATTTTTAAACTCTTCTGTTCCATCTATCAAATGAGAGTACTTAACCAAGAAAGGAGACTTGAAAACCTGTCCCACCTTCCTAATTCTCTTTGTAGTCTTAGGGAGAAACTCTGTAAAATTAATTTAAAAATATTATATATATAACTTTAATAATAAAAACATACATGCTATATAAAAGAACATATAGCTAATTATAAAAGAACATACAGTTTAATTAAAGAAAATTTACCTCTTTTCCTCCATTTTTTCCTTTCTTTTTTGTCCTTTTTTCCCAACAGCCTCTTCCACATTTGCAATTCTGTAATAACACACATATATAATTAAACAAATACATAGTATAGTAATATAAAGAACCTTGTTAATACATCAAAATGTAGTAGAAAAAATATAAAAAAAAAAATATGACCATACCCTTCACTTTTTTTACTTTCTTACTCTTCTTCCCCCACATCTTCTTTTTCCAAAACATCCTCATCTTCTTCCATATTAGGTTCGTTGACTTTAGTTGTAGATGGATTGTCTTGAATACTAACCATCATCACATTCTTCACAACATCGTCAATCATGTTTCCAAACCAATCTGATGCAAAGAAGTCAGTGTCTTGACTAAGAATTGATGCTCCCTCGCCATATTGACTTTGTGTGTGTTGTTGTATTACATTCGGAAAATTGACTCTGGCACACTTGGGACCACATGGTTGTAAGATTGTACATAGTGGTCTCTTCAGCCAACGGGGTTGTATAGAACCTCTCACCTAATTTCAAGATATTAGATAGGCTAACAAAATCGTTGGCAATCCTTTCGGTTACCTCTCGGAGCATTTTATTATACTCCTGACATTTTAATATTCAATGAAAGGTGTATTACTACACGTATACTATATGATAGAATATGATAAAATATTTCATTAGAATTCACAAAAAGTACTCATTCAAATAATAAACATTAAACCATTATTGAAATGCATCCCTATTACATATAAAAAGAAGATAATTTAATGACAAAAAGAGCATTTGATAAAAATTTAAGAACATTGATTTAAATTCAAAAGAACATATACATTGAGAGTTGAAAATATTACCAAAAAATCGTATCGAAAATAATTCTATATCAAAGTGAACATTGTTTAGAACTACGATGAACATAACATATAAAATTAATTAAATTATATCAATAAATACATATAAATTGTACATGTACATTTGATGGGACTTTTTTCTCTTGTTTTTGTTGTTCTCCACCATTATGATGTTCTTTTTGTTGCTGCTCTCCTTGTGGATGTTGCTGCTCTCCTAATTCTTGTTGTTTTTGTGCTTGATCTTACCCACATTTTTCGTTTACATTACTTTTCTGCTGCTGCTCTTCCTCCTGTTTTTGTTTTATCTCTGGTTGGTCCGGTACCACCACCAATACTTGGTTCTCACCTAATAGATGTTGTGGAATTGGGATGTCCACAACAATTGGTGGTTGCACTCTGTCCAACAAAGTACCAAGACCAAAGCCTAACCTCAGCTCAAGGTCTATTCTATCCTTGATAAGATCAGTAGTCCAGACCTTAATGACAGGGAAGTCTCTACTTTGCTCCAAAGTCATCTTTTGAAGCCGATCAAAGTAGCACACTTGTATATCATAGCATAATAGATTTTCATTTTAAAAAATAGATACCAAAACAATTATATGCATAGAAAATATGATAAGATTCATACAAGAGCTATTTCAACATGCATGAAGCATCCATACTCAAACAAATGGCAATGGTCCACAGAAAAATCTAGCAACACCTCTTTTCCAACAAAGAACCGACTCAATCAAGCTCTACATGGTGTAACTACACCAGTCATATTCTGAAATGCGATTTACATCAATCGCAGTGTGCAAAAATCTTCTTTTCAAAAAAAGAAAATAGTTAAAGAACATTTCATATTAAGATAATGCACATTAGAAGGTACCTAGTAAGCAGTTTTGTACAACAAACCTGAGATAAGGTTGTTGATTTTGAATACTCTTTATGCAACAGTTTACCACCAACACCAAGAAATTCCTCTTCCAGTCATCATCAAGAGGACTTTCCACAAGTGCTAATTTGCTCACAAGTTTGTTCACATTATTGGAAAGTACTCCCCCATGATATCTCTTATAACTATTTAACACCTCCTTATAATCTTCATTGCTATTCTTTGCATCCACTATTTCCTTTCCTCCACTTGGTATTCCATATACCATGTGAACATCAGCAGCTTTTACATTAATTGATCTATTTCTATCCAACTTAAATTTCATTCCTACGGCATCAAAATTCAAGACAAGTTGTGCTAAAAATTCAGGATAATTGTGGGAGAAATCCAAGTGCAAGAATCCACCAAAACCCATATCCTTTATAGCTTGAAGCTTATCAACTTGGTTAGCCAACTGCTAGACCAAGTTCATCAAAGGCATAACAGTTTGCCTCGTTGTTAGCTTTATTCTAGGTCCTTCCTCATCACCAACATCATCAAAGGGTACTACTTCTTTTTGTGCAACTCCTTTCGTGGCTTTCTTTATTTTAGGTTGCTTCTCTATTGCTACCACTTTTGGAACCTGAACAACTGATTGTGCTGCTGACTGAGATATTGATTGTGCAGCACCTTGTTCTGGTTTTTCTTTAACAAAAAATAATGACTCCCCCATAGGAGCCCTCCTTTTTTTCAGCATTCTCACAAGTTTTTCCTCAATAACCTTCACCGGATCTTCTAATTGATCAACTTCCTCTTCCTCATGTTTATCTTGAACTTTCCCGCCCTTCTTTGTACTGAAAATTAAAAAAAAATCAGCATGCAATATATCTTTAATAATTTGAACTACTAAGTTATAAATAACCCTACCCCTTTTTCCTTGCAATTTGTTTAAATTGGTAAGGCTTCTTTTTAGGCCCATCATCAGCCCCATGTTCTTTGTCTCGTTTTGTTTCATCCTCAGTTTTAGGCTCTACTGCAGCAGATTGCTTTGGTACTTCAATTTCGTCCTCGGATCTTCAATATTAAATTAAAGATGCATAATAAAATTAAATGCATTATATTTTCATAAGCCAAAAGAAGTACATAATCAACTTATATAATGTACATTACAATAATTATAACGTACACAACAAGGTGAAAAATAAAAGGTAACTATATTTTCATAAAGAACATCACAACTATATAGAATGAATAAATCAAATATGATAAAGAACATCAAGTATATGCACAATGAACAAATCATATTATGAAAAAGAACATCACAAACATATAATATAATATTTATAAATCCACTACAATTGACAATGATACTTTAATGTCTTATACATACCAATAATGTTTCACACATATTAAATAGTAGTCCTTTGGATTGTTCAGCAAAACAAATCGAGTAAAAAGTATTAAAAGCAAAATTACACGCATGAGTGTAATTGCCCATATTAGGTGTCTCACAGAGAAGATTTATAAGGATCTTAACACCAAGAGTAATTGCTAAGGCAAAGTTAGGCAATTGTCAAAATTCATGAAAAAAATGAAAGGTTAGGCAATCAAAGTGTAGTACATCCAATTCAACGAAGTCCATCTCAACTACCTTCCATAAAAATCAACACATATTATACACGAAAAAAATGAGTGAATATACTCCTTATTACACAATCACTTAAAAGTTAATTAATTATCCCTTTATAATAATGGAACCTTTCCTATGCAACAGCTTTGCATGTCAATGCCTTTCATTTTCAATTTTCAACTCTTTTAATCAATACATCTACATTATCCTTACCATAATAATTACTTAGTCATAGTTTTCTATTATAAAGAACATTGTTATAGAAACTAACATTGTTGTAAAGAACATTGTTATAGAAATTAACATTGTTTAAAGAACATTGTTATAAAGAACATTGTTATAGAAACTAGCATTGGCTTATTAATATAGAAAGAACATTGTTTTCTACTATAAAGAACAACCATACTATATAAAAAAAAAAAAAGAACATTCAAACTATAAAAAAGAAAACACCATATCCAGATCTATTCCAAGGTATAAAGAACATCTACTTATAAATAATGAACATTACACTACAATAAAACGAACAAATTAAACTAACATGTTACAATACCGAGGATCACTATATAAAATAATACTCCTATTATTGTTCACAACTACCAATCCAATAATTAAATAAAATAGATGTAAGATCTCCAATAAAAATAAAAATAAAAAAAAGATACAATAAAGTAGGCATTTCGTAATGGTCAAAGCTTGTACTTACTTTGTAATAGCAATATCTTTGTCAATGGCTTTCAACATCTTAGGACCCACAATTGGATCTTGAACCTCTGTACTACTTATTCCTTCAATTTTTTTCTTACTTTTACTCTTTTTCTTTTAAGGTAAGATATTAATCCGTGAGTAATTTGATTTTTATACTTTTTCTTTTACTATATAAATCCGTGAGGTAATTTGATATCTTGTTCTTCTTGTTGCACACTACATCCCAAAAAAATCAAATTACTCAAGGATTTATACAAAAAAAAAAAAAAAAAAAAAAAAAAAAAAAAAAAACCATTCAGCCACACGATATCAACAATTAACAAGAATTAAAGCAAAAAAAAAAAAACTCAATTGCATATCAAATTACTCACGGATTTACGCAAAAATCACCAAAAAAAAATCAGCCATACGAAATCAACAATTAACATGAATTAAAGCAAAAAAAAAAAAAAAAAAAAAAAAAAAAAAAAAAAAAAACTCAATTGCATATTCCTTTAATAGATTTTTAGTTTGAGTGCTGAAATTTATAAAAAAAAAAAACCCAAAAAAAATAAATATAACAAAAAAAAAACGAAAAACAGCTTAAACAATCATTAGAGTATTTTTCATGATGAAATTAAACTTACATATCATCTTCTTTCACCATCTTCGCAAGTTTTTGAAGCACAATTATGGTTTTTTTGCCGTAATAATCTATTAGGGTTTTGACAAAATTTCAGTTTTTTCAGAGAGAGAATTTGATTTTTAGAGAGAGAAAGTGATTTGAAAAGATTTTACCTTTTATTTGGGGGTAACTATTTTTTTACTTTCTGTTTTACTCACAAGGGTGAAAAAATCTCGCGTTCTTCCTATTTCTACAGAATGTTCATCGTTTTTTTTATTTTTTTTTATTTTGAGGCTTTGATGCGACCTGCGTTTAATTAACAAAGGGGTGTCGTTTTGGGCCGGGTGCACCATGCTCATGGTGCACCCGGGTGTAGGGTTCAATAATTGTATTTTTACTCGAGTCTTGCACCATGTATTTTATGATCGTACCTTAGGTTTGTCGTGTGTTGTCTTTTTCCGTCGTTTTTTTAGGAGTAAGTTGGATGGTATCCTCCCATACATAATTTTTCTAATTTTTTAATCTTTTCGAAAACTTTGTATTTCCTCTTTCTCTTTCTCTTCCTTTTTCACCTTTCCTTTCCGGTTGGATCAAGATCGAGTCAAGTCAAGTCATTAAAGGTGCGTTTGTTTCAATATAGCAACACTTGGTCAAGGAGCAGAGGCACATTAGTACGACTCGGTTCGCTACCACAACAACCTCTTAAACCTAAGAGGCGTCTAAGGAAACCTCCATCGTCACCACATAGTCCATTACTATCACCTCCAGTTTACTTTCACTACACTACAATGGCTAGTAAGGAAGACATCGAGGGTATCAATAAGTCCATTGCTGCACTCACTTTTATGTTGCAAGTCCTTACTACTAAGGTCACCACCATGGAATAAAACAATGTCAATCCTGCCTCAATTCAAAAGTTGAAAGAAAAGGTGAGAAAAATCACTGATAAGTTCACCTACGTGGAACAACCCTCCACTACTTTGGTGGTGAAAGACAGGCTTTTTGAGAAGTTCTCCACTTCTGTCATACCAAAATTCAAACCTACTGACAATCCGATGTTTTTAAGGCTTTCTCTGCAACCGTGACTCTCAAAGAAATAGAGGTGGCACTCTTCCTTACTGTGTTTCCTCTCTCCTTAGAGCATGCTTGCCAACCATGGTTATATTCACTGAATTCTAAGGACACTACAACTTGGGAAGATGTCACTAAAAGTTTCATGAACCGTTGCAAGTGTAACATTCAAGCTAGAACTTTTGAACGCGAGCTCTCAATCCTCAAACAGAAAGAGAATGAAGGGTTCACTTCTTATCTGAACAGGTGGAGGGAAACATCTGCACTTGTAGTTGATTCCCCTAAAGAAAAAGAGATGATTCGCCTCTTTATCCAAAATCTGACCAACAAGTACAAGCAACATCTTAGATTCTTGCCATAGAACACTTTTGAAGTTGTCTACAATGTGGGCATTGAAATCGAGGATGAACTGACAAAGAACGCTGGTAGTAATAACAATAACAACAACATTTGAAAAAACAAGAAGAACAACACTCTTTCTTCTTCGTCTTCCAAGCCTCGTAACACTACCAACAACATAAGCCAGTACAATCTCAATGAGGTGTTAGCTCTTGATACTCCTGCACCAAAGTTCTAAAGGAAAAGAAGGATCAACACACCTTTGGGAATGAGTTACGATAGTGTTTTTGATCGCCTTCATAGTCAAGGGCTAATCATGCCTATTGGGTCATTTCCAGAGCCCAAACTTGAAGATAGAAGTGCCAGTTAGGACCCCAATGCTCATTGCAAGTTCCACCAAGGTAGGTGTCACACTACTAAACGATGTTGGAAGTTGAAGGATGCTATTTAGGACCTGGTTGATGCTAATCAACTTCCTGTTCCTTCAGGGGGGAAAGGAGCCTAACTTCCAAACAGGCCCACTCTCTGAAGTGTTGGCTATCATAGGAGACGAAGTCTCCTTTGATCTGTCATTCCTCATCTAATATGTGGAAGAGCCTCTCCCAGAAGTAATTTTCATTCCCTATTATGAAGAAGTCAACGAAGTTTGGGACAGTGACGATGAAGATGTCTACCTCAAAGACATGACTTATGCACCTCTCGGAACTATCAATCACGAGGTTGGTGATGATGATGTTTGGGGTGATCTTGAAGTCAAGGTCTTCACTAGATCTGGAAGGGTGCAACAGTCTGATGCACCTCCACTTCAACCACAAGCACAACCAGTAATTGACCCTGTCGATCCTCTAGGCAACGATGTGGTCAAGCAACTGCAAAAGACCAAGGTGGAAATGAATGTATGGAAGCTTTTGGCTACCTCGTATGAGCATAGAAAAGCTGTGATGAATGCTCTCGTTAAGGTAGGAGTTGATAGTGACATGACCCCTCAAGGGCTAGTCAATTTTCTCACCACCGAACTGCTAAACACAAACAATTTGATTTCTTTCTCTGACAAGGATTTACCCCCAGAAGGTAATCAACACAACAAGGCATTGCACCTTACGGTGGTGTGCAGGCAAATGAATGTTCCAATGAGCCTACTCGATAATGGCTTAGCAATCAATGTGTGCCCACTTTGAACTGCGAAGAAGCTTGGCATAAAAGATGAAGAATTAACTCCCTCTACTCAAGGGATTTGTGCTTATGACAATACTCGTTGCCAAGCCTTGGGTACTATCATGTTGAACATTACTACTGGAGCTATTGAGTGTCGCACCAAGTTTCAAGTGGTGGACATTAAATCTTCCTTCAACCTATTACTAGGACGCCCTAGGCTTCATGAGTTTAAGGTGATTCCTTCTTCGCTGCATTAAAAAGTTAAGGCAATAGTTGGAAGGATTCCAATCACTATTGATGCATCTCCTATGCGCATCCAAGTCATTGACACTCCCATTGTTCATGTCGAACATGATGAAGAAGATGAAGATCTTTGGGGATTTTCTTTAGAAGATGTTCTCATAATCAAAGAAGAAGAGAAATGTCACCTCGACTTTGATCCTTATTCTAATGTCAATGTCAATGAAATCATGAAGAAACAAGGGTATTTTCCTAAAATGACCGTTAGTATTAAGAAGAAAATGGTTGTATTCTGGGGCTATCTTGGTGCACCCGAGAAAGAAACCTTTCGGTTGGGGTTCAAACCAACAAAAGAAGACATGAGGCAAGTTGTGCTTAGGATGGTCGCTCGCAACACGGCTTGCACAATAAACAAAGAAATTCCTATAGACCCTTACCCTTACCCTCTCACTCTCAACGGCCCATTCGTCAAGGAAGTTGAAGATTTCCCATAATATGAGTTTCCTGAGCCTTTCATTCATAATGGAAGACGTGAGCCAGGTTTCGAAGTTTTCATGGATTGTGACTTCATCGATGAAAGCATACATTTCCCAATTGCTAGCCACCACTCCAGGCTCTGATGATATGGTTATTAGTCTTCTCTTTGGGCTCGAGAGGAATGAACCCAAGCGCATTAACAATGATGATTCCGCGCTCATTCAAGTTGTCATGTCAAATAAGGATTTTAATCCCACCAAGCTTATCGTACCAGCTGAAGGTATTTTGAAGGGTTGGCGCAAGACTATGAAGACCACTACTCCAAGCGGAGAGAAGTTGGAAGTCACCACCAGCGAAGGTCCACATGTTTGATGAATATGAGTCATCCGAGTCATCTGAGTCGTCTGAGTCCGTGTAATACCCGATATTTTAAAACTCGATTTATTATACTCTAATTATAATATTATAAGCTTTAGTAAATTTTAATATCTGTTTTACCAAGTACAAATGTTTTAGACTTAATACAAGTATTATTTTAATAACGTATTATTTTCGGAAGCTAATATTACGAGGAAAAGTAATTTATTTTAAAACTTTATTTCGTGTCAAATAATATTTTTGTGTTCCTTCCAATGTTTATAGATTAACACCAAAATCTGTAATTTTAACCTGATACCGCAAAATAACGAAAATACCCTTATACACCCGAAAAGAACAAAACTCACCTCTTCCTTGTTCTTTCTTCACGGTTAAGTGTTAGAAAGTTAAGTGTTATATTACATTATTTAAAGAGTGGAAAGTATTCTTGTGAATTTGCGATATTAGAAAAATGGTGAACATCGAAACATGTAATAAGAATTTGATTAGACAATCCGAAACTTATAAAAGTAATTAGTAACAAAAAAAAGTAATATCAACATGATTTTAACACCAAATTCATCTCTGATATTGGCCTAGCTAATAAATAGAAGAAAAATTTATGTCCGAGCAAGGAATAACAATAAAAAGGAAAAAGCAAATTTAAATTGAACTATGACGTCACATTCTTCTTCTTTTTCTTACGCGATGCCTTCTTCAGCTTTTTCATCCTCCATACTATGCACTTCCTTGAAGAGAAAAAAAAAAAAAAAAAAAAAAAAAAAAAAAAAAAAAAAAAAAAAAAAAAAAAAAAAAAAACCTAGAATTTATATACTTTGTATTTCGAATGTCTTATGCACAACTAATGACATGAAAAAAAAAACAAAAAAAAAAAAAAAAGAAAAGTATAAAATAATGGATATAAAGGCTTGAATGATTTTGTTGTTATGACGAATAATGAAACTTAATAGGGATGAAATTCTATAAGGTACCCCTCAGCTTTCAAAAACTTTAAAAATTTTATATGATCCCAGGGCAAAACATTTGTTCCATAAAGTGACACCTTGCTCTTTAATTCCATAAAGTGACACCTTGCTCTTTACTAATACACATAGTGACCTTAGTCACTATATACCTCTACTTTACGTAAGAAGGATGATCAAATCGAAGATTGAACGATAGTCACATTAGCTAACCATATTGACTTTTTATAAGTTAAGGGATGTCGTAGAGAATTTACCAACTTAATATATCTCAAGTACACCAAAAAAAAGGAGAAAAATTATATAAACCTTACTAACTATATATCTCTACTTTGTGTAATATAGAAAACAAAAGGTTTGTGCCTAATTGGATGTAGAAGCCGAAGACTGAAGTCGAAGCATTCATGATATATTACTATTCTTCTTAGATTGACTATCAAGAAATAAAGGGCTAAACTAGGATTTTGTGTTGTTTTATTAGCTTTGTTAGCTTTTCCTTGCGAGTGCCATGAACATTTGAGCTAAACTAGGATTTTGTGTTGTTTTATAATCCCATTTCTATACAAGAGTGATGATTGTCAATCATCTTAATTACAAAATAAAACCACTAATAAAAGTGATGAAAAAAGAAAAAAGCCAAGACAAACTTACCCACTTATGTCGACCCCTAGCAAAACTCGCTCTTTGGTCCTGAAGCATGCATATAGTTATTTTCCTTTCCAACTAACCAATTTGCCGCTGTATTTTGCATACAAGTTCCTGACAGATTAAGATGCATGGTGAACTAAATAAATAACCTTTTTCATAAGACAAGAAATATACATTCGTCACTGAAGGAGGGCAACGATACTTATATAAATGTAATTAAATACCTCATATTTGTCATCATTCCAAATCTTTAACAAATCCTTAAACATTGTTTTTATCATTGTCATATTTATGAAAGTTTACTCTTTTCAAATAACATTTGTACCATCTCCAAGCAGCGCCAATGGTTTGCAAAACCCATTTATTGGCCTCAAGTGGGACAATATAATATTTCTGTAACAACATAAAAACAAGTGATACAAAAGTTCGACAAAATAAAAATCAAAACTTTTAAGGATTTGTTTGGCAAGAATAGGATGTAATTGTTCTCTCGGAACATGTTGTAAGTCGCACACCTACTTGCAGTAGCAATTTCCCTACAATTAGTCACAGCCAACCGCAGCAGCAGGTAGCAGACGCAGCAAGCAGCAAGGCAGTGGCACCAGGCATGCAATATCACCCAGCTGCAGTAAAACACATGATCTATGGTTAGCAGAGTTGTATGTACTTGTATGCTACACTCAAATTACTGAAAATGTCGTAAAAAAAAGGGGGCTATTAAATTCACACATACTAAGTTCAGTTTGGTTTAAAGTTAGCATCATACTCGTACATGGAAAATTCAGTTCATTTAGGTTTGGTTTAGAAAAGGGTTTAAGATCATATCCTTTGTCAACAAATTTGTTTAATAATAAAAATCAATAAAATTCATTCAATTTCAGGTTAGTGACAAACAGATAAAACTAAGGTACCCTCACAATCTGGCTACTATATACAAGTTTAATACAAGTCCAATTCAGAAATTTTGAAGCAAATACATACTCTGCAACATAATACAGGTCAAACTTATCAAGTCAGATATATAGGACAAGTACACTTTTCAACATTCAAGAAAGTCATATAGATGTTGATTTACCATTCTCAGAAGCAATCTAGAAAATAATCAGCTTCAAGTTTTAGAAATAAAAGTTAAGCAAAAAGAAGAATAGAAACTCAGATCTTACCTATATTGTGGGGCTAATAGCACTAGAGCCACTATTGACCAACAAAACTCAATCAATGAATAAAAGAAATTAAAAATAAAGCTGAAAGTTGAATTTTTTTTTTTTTTTTTTTTTTTAAATTATGCAAAAGTATCAAACACAATCATGTTTCAGTTATCGTCTGAGAATAATATTGATAAAAATATACAAGAATGCTAAGGGTTATTTGGACAAGAAGTAGAAGTAATCAAGTTTTTCCTAAGATTAGTTCTAGAAGAATTGGTTGTATTTGTTCTGAGCTCAAAAATCTAGAACTCCAATTCAAGTTCAGATGTTGATTGAGAACACATTAAAGAATTCTGATCACTAAGACAATACAGAATAATTTATCTAGTTTGGTTAAGCATCAGTTGACAGCTTGTGAATTGGACCTGGACTACTGATATACAAAAAGAAAACTATAAACAGTGCTTATAAGAGTTCTATCTTCTGTAGAGAGTGAAATCGTGAATGGTTCAAGGATCAATTGTGTGATCTGCTGGTATCAAGTAGTTTGCTTAGGAAAATTACATGTAATGGGAAAACCAGACTTTAAAAAGGAAGGAAATATGAGCGAGTGACTAATTCATAAAGCAGGAAAATATAGCAAGAAATCAAAAAAATAAAATACCTAACCTTTTCATCTTGACACGTAGAAATTGGGATACCTACAATCAACAGAGGCTTGCCTAAACTGTTATATTAGAGTTAATGGAGTTTTGATGTTATGCTTAATCTAAGCTTATTATCAATGTAGGATATCCAAATCCGTGATTATAGTAAGCCAATTAAGAGGTTAGAATCTATATCACGTAGAAAGTGAAAGAGGACACGTATTGATCAACATGGGAATTACAGATTAAACATGTGTATAAATGTGCCAAACTTTAGCATAAGCTATTCAGATCAGCTATACTATAAAATTGAATGTACTGCTTTATTTAACTATCAGGTTCTTTTTTTTTTTAAGAAAAAAACCATCAAGTATGTAATGTGTCCTGCTCAATTCTGGAAGTTTACTCTGCATAATCAAATAGTATGGAGTTTGGAGGTGATGGTAATATATATTTGTGGTTGTCTCCAACCAGAAAGACAGTCTTGTTCATATTCCATAGGTTACTTCTATCAATAAGAGAACATTTTATATACATATGTTGGAAATAAATGCTAAGGAAGGTTTTTTGTTGTTTTGGAGGAAAACCCTTTGTCCCACATTGGTGGGATAAGGAAGCTTTACTTGTTTTATATATTGGGAGAGAAGGGGTTTTTGTCTCACATTGGTGGGAGAAGTATATTTTACTTGGTTTAAATATGTGTGCTCATACTCTGATGTTTGAAGTGCTTTCCCTATTGTTGTGGGCTAAAAGGGGGCATCCCCACGCGCGCGCCGCCGCCGTCCGGCCGGTTCGGTTTGTGTTCGTGGCACATGCGTGGTGTGGTGTGTCTACCTTTTTGAGCTAAGTCGTAACTGACATTCCAGCTTTTACGAGATTGTTCAGTTACGAAGTCCACAACAACGTTTGACTCGGTCTTTTAAACGTTGTAATTGTTCTCTGATTTTCCTCCACGATTATTTACGTCGCTTGATTATCTCCAGCAGTTACGGTTATCTTCCTCTTTAAAAACTCGTATTTTCGTGGCTTTTGGAGGACACAAAAATTCTTTCATCTTCTTTCTCTTTTGTTTTCGGTTTTCCTCTACGGTTGTTTTGAGCATTTTGTGAGTTCTTAATCTCTCTTTTTGAGTGCACATTAAGAGAGATCGATGTGTTAAATCTTGGGGGGCAACGCCATCTCCGATTGCACCATAGTTGGGGCGAATTTTGCTTCTAAGACAGTGTTTCTAACACGTCACAGCGTCTTACATACATTAAGAAATTCGGCCCACATTCAATCTTTATTTTTTGATTCTACAGTTTTTCAACCTACAATTTAGAAGCAAAATCTCTACTATAATTTCAAATCATGGATTTTTCTATCTCAAAATCCCTACCTGATCTCTCTAAATTTGAACCCCTTGATGGGACTAACTACAAACGTTAGTCTTAAAAACTGTTAATCTTCTTCGAACAATTGGAGGTCGATTATGTTCTTGTTCGTGACTGTCTAGTTCGTCTAGAAACTGGAGATACCGTTGCCGCTTCATCTTCTTCCATAGACGAACAGATCGCTAAATATGAGAAGCATAACAAGTTAGTTCGAGGTCATCTTCTGAGTCTCATGCCCAACCCGCTGTTCGATCTCTTCATCAACAACAAATCTGCCAAATCTATTTGGGAGACTCTTGAGAAGAAATATGGGAATGATGATGCGGGAAAGAAGAAGATGCAACGGGAAAGTGGTTGAAATTCCAGATTGTTGATGACAAGCCAATCACGGAGCAAGTTCATGAGTACGAGAACCTGGTAGCTGACATTCTGGCTGAGGGTATGAAGATGTGCGAGGTGCTGCAAGCCAATGTTCTAATCGAGAAGCTCCCTAATTCGTGGTCCAATTACCGCAACCATCTCAAACACATGAAGAAGGAGCTAGTTGGTCATATGAAGATTGAAAAAGCCAACCGCCTTAAGGATAAGGATTCTTCCCCTTAAGAACTTTCTGTTAAAGCTAACATTGTGGAATCTTCTGTTCCAAAACATGACAGGTTTAACAAACAAAACAAAGCTGCTACAAATTCCAAGAAGAACCAAAATCAGAAACCGCTTGGAGTTCAAAACAAAAGGAGCAATAACTTCAAGAAAAACCACAAATCTGAGGAAGGCAATGGTGGCTGCTATGTCTGTGGAAAGCAAGGACACAAGGCATGGCAATGCTACAACCGCAAAGATGCATCTAACAATGGGCAGAAATCAGAACAAGAACCAAGCTCATATTGCTGAGCTCATATTGCTGAAGAATCTGATGACGTCATTGCTGCCGTAGTTTCGGAAATCAACCTCGTCGGCAACAAAGCAGAATGGGTCGTTGACACCGGAGCCACCAAGAATTCTGTTCGGACCAAGCCCTCTTTACCGAATTCTATGAGTTTGACAAAGCTGATGAGGTGTTCATGGGCAATTCTAGCAGTTCCGAAGTTCTCGGTAAAGGAAAAATTCTCCTTAAATTAAATTCTGGAAAATCTTTGTCTTTGCAAAATGTGTATTATGTCCCTTCTCTTCGTAGAAAATTTAATTTCTGGTGCACTTCTAAACAAGGCTGGTGTGAAACTTGTTTTTGAAGGCGAAAAGTTAGTGTTATCTCGTAATGGGGAATTTGTGGGGAAGGGATATCTGTCGGGTGGGCTGGCTGTTTATTTTAGAAATTTTATTTATTGCTGATTCTATTAATAAAGTTTCTAGTTCTGCTTATATTGATGAGACTTTTGATCTTTGGCATGCTAGATTAGGACATGCAAATTATGGTTCCATGAAACGCTTGCAAAACATGTCTTTAATTCCTAGTCTAGTCTGTAATGGTCATAAATGTGGAATCTATGTTAAAGCTAAACATTCCAAGAAACCATTCAAACCTGTTATTAGTAGACAAACTGAATTGCTTGAATTGGTTGATACGGACTTAGCTGACTTTAAGAATACTGTTAGCAGAGGCGGTAAACAGTATTATATTACCTTTGTTGATGACCATTCTAGATATACCAAAGTGTATCTCTTCAGAACCAAAGATGAGGCGGAAAACATGTTTTTAATTTATATGGCAGAAGTTGAGAATCAATTGGACCGTAAGATTAAAAGACTTAGTTTAGATAGCGGGGGAGAGTATGGAACCACCTTTTTAAAAGGACTTTGTGAGAAAAATGGAATTATCCATGAACTTTCTGCTCCCTATACTCGCTGAAAGGAAAAATAAAACCTTTAAGGAAATGATGAATGGCATGTTGATTAGTTCTGGTTTGCCTGATAATATGTGGGGGAGGCCATTCTTTCAGCTACTTATGTGTTGAGAAAAGTACCTCATAAAAAACTCGATAAAACTCCCTATGAATTGTGAAAAGGCCATGTGCCTAACCTTAAATATCTGAAAGTGTGGGGGTGTCTTGCTAAAGTTGCTTTACCTTCTTTTAAACGGGAAAATATTGGACCTAAACCTTTTGATGCTATATTTGTTGGTTATGCTGCAAATAGTGCAGGTTATAGGTTCATGTGCTTAAAAGATAAATCTATGTGTGAATCTAGAGATGTTGAATTCTTTGAGCATGTTTTCCCTTTGAAGAAAAGTAATGTATCACTTGATGTGACTTTATCTGCTCCTTCATCCTCTTCTATGTCTGTTCCTTCTCCTGTGGTTCAAAATGATGATGTTGTACAACCTAGGAAAAGTAAGAGACATAGAACTGAGACTAGCTAAGGTCCTGATTTTTTGACCACTTTCTTAACTGAACTCAATGAATGATGTTGATGAAATAGATGAACTTGTTGTATGTTATCATTTGTTTGATGATGAGCCTAAAACATTTGAAGAGGCCATGAGTTCAATTGATGCTAGTTTTTGGAAGGAAGCTGTTAATAGTGAAATAGAGTCCATCATGTCTAATCATACGTGGGAACTAGTTGATTTGCCTAAAGGTAGTAAAGTCATTGGTTGTAAATGGATTTTTAAAAGAAAACTTAAAAGTGATGGTACTATTGAAAGGTATAATGGATGTTAAAACTGCTTTTTTAAATGGCGACTTAGAGGAGGAAATTTATATGGTTCAACCTTCGGGTTTTGTGGTTCCCGGAAAGGAACAAAAAGTGTGTAAGTTAAAAAAATCCTTGTATGGGCTAAAACAAGCTCCAAAATAGTGGTATGAAAAGTTTCATAAAACAATACTTAGATTTGGGTTTGTAGCAAACCGTGCTGATACTTGTGTGAATAAAAAAATGTTTGGATCTGCCTGTGTAATTGTCTGCTTATAATGTAGATGATATGTTGATTTTTGGTACACATATTGATGTTATTAATGTAACAAAAGAATTTCTTTCCTCTCAATCTGAAATGAAAGACTTAGGTGAAACTGATGTGATTTTGGGTGTTAAAGTTACCAAAACTAGTAATGGTTTCTCGTTGTCTCAATCTCATTATGTGGAAAAAGTGTTAAAGAAATTTAACAGGTGCCTGTTAAAACTCCTTACGATGTAGCTTATGCAGTTAGTAAACTTAGTCGATATACCCATAACCCTAACAGAGAACATTGGAATGCCCTTAGACGCCTATTAAGGTATCTTCGAGGCACTATGGATTGGGGTTTGCATTTTGTCGGTTTTCCTGCTGTGTTAGAAGGATATTGTGATGCAAACTGGGTGTCTGACAATGATGAGGTAAGCTCCACCAGTGGATATATTTTCACTTTATGTGGAGCAACTGTGTCTTGGAAGTCTTCAAAACAGACTTGTATTGCCCGGTCAACTATGGAGTCTGAATTCATTGCTTTGGCCTTGGCCGGGCAAGTGCTTACAATGGCAAAAAGAGGCACATTCATGTGAGACATGAGTTTGTGAGGACTTTGATAGTAAGTGGTGTTATCACTATGGATATGTAAGATCTGAGAGGAATCTTGCAGATCCATTGACCAAAGGACTAAATAGTAGACTTGTCCTTGATACGTCGAGGGGAATGGGGCTTAAGCCCGTTAGTTGAGGAATTCATGGTGGATACCCAACCTTGTTCACACAAGGATTCATGTGGACTAATGAAGCCATAGAAAGACTCATAATTGTACTCTTCCCATTCCTATGACTTGTACATTTGGTAAGGTTAAGCTTTTAGCTTTTAATGAATTCATAGCCCAGAATTTGGGTGGTCCTAATGAGACGGACCTGATGAATTCACCGCTTTGATAATGTGAGGTTGAGCAAAGGCTCTTAATGATTTCATATCCATGGGCAGTCTTTCTAAGGCACTCATGAGCATCCCAAGTTTGATGGCCAATCTTGCTAGTTGATTTTTATCGCAGAACTCACAATGTTTTAAGGTAAGATATGTGTTATTAGGATTTAACTTCTGAGTTGAGTGAGTTCCAATTCGTTCACTCACTTAACAAAGGAGTTGCCTAATCTTCACTATGTATTGGTTCAATCGAAAGATACCAGTACTTAAGTATCAAACCTATTAAAATGCTAGGTGTTTTTATTTGTTTTAAAATCTTTTTCCTTCGCATTTGTGGAGGATTGTTGGAAATAAATGCTAAGGAAGGTTTTTTGTTGTTTTGGAGGAAAACCCTTTGTCCCACATTGGTAGGATAAGGAAGCTTTACTTGTTTTATATATTGGGAGAGAAGGGGTTTTTATCCCACATTGGTGGGAGAAGTATATTTTACTTGGTTTAAATATGTGTGTTCATACTTTGATGTTTAAAGTGCTTTCCCTATTGTTGTGGACTAGAAGGGGGCATCCCCATGCGCGCGCCGCCGTCGTCCGGCCGGTTCGGTTCGTGTTCGTGGCACGTGCGTGGTGTGGTGTGTCTACGTTTTTGGGCTAAGTCATAACTAACAATCCAGCTTTTATGAAATTGTTCAGTTACGAAGTCCACAACAACATTTGACTTGGTCTTTTAAACGTTGTAACTATTCACAAATTTTCCTCCACGATTATTTACGTGGCTTGATTATCTCCGGCAGTTACGGTTTTCTTCCTCTTTAAAAACTGGTATTTTCGTGGCTTTTGGAGGAAACAAAAATTCTTTCATCTTCTTCCTCTTTTGTTTTCGGTTTTCCTCTACGGTTGTTCAGAGCATTTTGTGAGTTCCTAATCTCTCTTTTTGAGTGCACATTAAGAGAGATCGCTCTGTTAAATCTTGGGGGATCTCCGATTGCACCATAGTCGGGGCGAATTTTGCTTCTAAGACAATGTTTCTAACACGTCATAACGTCTTACATACATTAAGAAATTCGGCCCACATTCAATCTTTATTTTCTGATTTTACAGTTTTTCAACCTACAATATAATAGATTGTCTTGTTCATATTCCATAGGTTACTTCTATCAATAAGAGAACATATTATATATATATATATATATATATATATATATATATATATATATACATATATATATATACATATATATATACACATATATATATACACATATACACATATATACATATATATATACATATATACATATATATATACATATATATATATATACATATATATCAGTGGCGGACCCAATTAAGTGACATGTAAGTGAAAAAAAACCAAAAAAAAGCAAAACGCGACACTGCTACAGAACGAAGAACAGCCAACAACACTCAGTCTTCACTCCTCCAATTCGCCATTGCCTCCACTGAGATCGACCGTCGAGGCGTGCGTCGCTGCTCCACCAACCAGGCAACCACCGCCCTGCTGCGTCGCTGCTCTCAGTTCCTCACCACTCACCAGTTCACCAAGTCACCACAGCACCACTTCGGTCTTCGCAAATCGGCAGCCTCTTCACTAGCTGCGTGCACCGGCGCCGCCTGCGTGCAACCAGGCAACCACCGTCTGACCGTCGAGCCTCGGTCGTCCGTCACTGATGGTATGTCTTGCTATTTGCTAACCCTAATTCGAAATTCCCAATTTGAAATCCCCAATTGACAATTGTTAACCCTAATTTCCAGATTTTTGTTTAATTATTGTTAATTTTAATTGCAATCTTTGTTGAATTTTAATTTTAATTGCAATTTTAATCTTAGGTTTTACCGTTTTATTAGTATGCATTCTATGCAATGATGTGAATTGTGGTAATTGATATATATTTTTCAATTTAATTAGGAAATGTCAAATGATTCACCTAATTCAAACAAATCCAAGGCTACTAGAAAACAACCCGATCTTCGACAATTCATGTTTAAAAGAAAGAAACTCCATGAAAATGAGTCCAATAACTCCCCCTCATTAAGCTCCCCTCAAAGTCAAGAAGATGATATGGAAATGGGTGGTTCAAGTACTTGTAATGTACCATTGGAGAAAAATTTGGTATACGATGTTGAACTTCTTCCTCATGATCCGGGAAAAAGAATAAACATAATGGATTACCCCTCAAATGAACGAAATGCAGTTAGGAGGGGTTATATTCTTAAAAAACCTTGCCAACCAAAAACTCATGACTTTCCTCAAAGACAAGTGTCCGGTTAACGTCGCTTTAGTGTTCATTGGTTCAAGAAATGTAATTTTTTTCATCATTTTGAATTGTATGACTAAGTATGTTTTTTATTTTGAAATTTTAATACTAAGTATTAACCAATTTGTGTGTTTGAGTTATTTTTTGTTTTTATTTTTTGTTAAGCTTTTTGTAAGTTAAGCATTTTGTCCCCCTGAATTGAAAATCCTGGATCCGCCACTGATATATATATATATATATATATATATATATATATATATATATATATATATATATATATATATATATTGATGAAATGGGTGTGCGTGGGTGGTGTAGTGATAAGTGATGAAGCTTGAAGAGGGAGTATCCTATAGCTAAAGAAGACAGTGAGAGTAATAGTGTAAGGATGGGTTTCTTTTAATTCCTCGACTGAAGTCAATGCATGCATTTTCTTGCCATCTTGAACCAAGCATACTAGATGATTGGTGGGGTGACCCTAGATTCTTACAAAGGGGAAATTGGCTGGACTCAAAGACAAAATAAATAAGCAAGTAGTTTTTCCACAAGCTCAAAAGTTGAACTTTCAAATACTCCCTAACTTATAGCAAGAACATAATATATTTTGTAATGCATTCATGATAATGCATAGAAAAGCTACTGCCTTGGTTTTAATAACCAACACACAACTAAGCCTAACAAACGAAATCAGCACTTAAAACAATATACTCACAGCAACCTAAGATTGATGGCTGAGATATTTACAAGAGAATTCCATCATTTCAGTGTATTTCATTGCTGCTAATTTATATTTGAATCACCAACATTATTTATTTGCATGCAAACATCACAACATGTTGGTCTGTATGCCTAATATACATCATCCGATGAAAATCTACCGTCCATCTATGTAATACAATCAATACTCAATAGATCAAAACCAACACATATAATTCATTTACAATCTATTAAATTTCAAAAATGGTAATTCATAATTAATTCCAGAACAAAAAAAAATAATAAAAAAACTCAGCTATGGATCATCTTCGTTAATGGCTAATTTCCAAGAAAACCTCAATTGAAAAGATAAACACCTTACAATTGGAGTAAAAAGGTCAATGGTGACTTACAATTGGAGTTCGAAGAACAATGAAGACTTTGCCGGCATCAAACCCAACTCGTTGCCGATCTTGAAATTACATTAAGCTGACTACAGAGAAAACAAACAAATTACTGGATAAATTGCAAAACAAATATTAGATTAATTAACCCCTCACCTGAGCACAGAGGAAGTAAGCGTGTAACCGTGTAGAAAGCAAGTAGATCAACACTAAGTAACTGATTCGAGTGGAAAAGTGTTAGGAGCCAAAAAAAACTTTCACCATTTTCGCGCGTTTTGGATGAAGGCGAAATTGGAATGGAGATCATGGGTCTCTTTTTTTCTATTTTCTAAAAAGTAAAAAATAAATAAATAAAAACCATTTGTTTTGACTTGTAACCAATTTGAGTTGACTCGTGAAATTTAGGACCCAAATTTGATTTGCGACGACTTACTTAGACTCAATCCAAATTTGTCCCGATCTGAACTTAACTCAACATTGATTTGACCTAACCATAACTCAAACCGACTCGAAATTGACTTGATAAATACCGGATTCAATATAATCTGTTTTGATTGACCTCATATTAAATGGACTCAATTTTAACCCAACATGATTTCAAACCAAACATAATTTTAAACGCCCCTATTATTGGCCTTCCCCTCTCTCTCTCTCTCTCTCTCTCTTTCCTTAGGTAACTCTGTATACAAACCCATTGGATACTTGGTGAGTTTTGAAAAATAAAAATGTATCTCGTGAATTTCATAAAATCACATACAGTTTGGATACCTGGCGGAAATATTCATTAATTAATATATTTTTTTTAATGGCATATGATGTCAAGTTCTTTTATTTACATTATTCAAGCTCTTATATTTACTAATTAATAATTTACTTCATAAGATCGTATGATTGTGGGTAACGATATGTCAGTTATCAAATTGTCATTAATTAATTACATATTATTTCACTTATATAAAGCTTGATAAATCATTGATTATTTGATATTAAAGTGGTTTGTACATAAACTTGATGAGAAGATGAATAAGTGTTACTGATATGATATAAATTTTACTTATATCTCTCTCCTCTTCTTAAAATACGTGTTCAACCCCTATGTTGTAATATTAGGGGAATGGAATGTCCCGTTATTATCTGACATGAACAAACTAGAACCATCATAGGGTCAAACAAAACTTGATATGATATCTTGATTTGACACCTCCTGCTCTAAGCCTCTAACGAATAGTTACTTAATTACACATTATTGAATGTAACCTTTTTTATCTAACCATCCTTAATAATACTTTATTAAAAATAAATTAGATAATAATTGTACTTTATTAAAAAAAATTAGGTAATTCATATATATACTTAATTGTATCAATTGATAATGAAGTGTAAAACCGATTCTAAAACTAATATGATGGGAAGATAAATAAATGTTAATGACACGATATAAATAAAAGAATGACCAATAAATAACTCGATGATTACCCAATAATAAGTTAATAACTCAATAATACTCTAATTTAAAAATGCCCTTATTCAAATATTTAACTTTGAACCTGATCCAAAGTTGATTCAGTCCAACATTGATTCGGGCTCGATAGATCTAAATTGACCCGACCTGATCAAACCTAAGCTAATCGAAGCCTCGAGGTGGATATTTTTGATAACTTTGACCCGTTATAGCTCGACCCATTAGGCATCAAGGGCCAACCCATAATTGATACAATATCTTGAATTGACAACTCATCTAGGTCTAACTAATAGTCAATTACACATTGATTTTATACCTTTATTTTCATCTAACCATCACTAATCATATATTATTAAAATAATATTTACCTCCGTTTTTTTTATTAGTTAACATGTATTCCTTTTTAGGAAGTTTATTTTTAGTTGACACGTTTCATCTTTGGGTAAATTTTATACCTTGCCTTTTTAGTGTACTCCACTTGCTTTATCATTCTTTCTCCTCTCTTTAATATGTGTGCCTAAATTGAACATGTCAACTAAATAGAAACGGATAAAGTATACTAGTACAAAATTAAGTGTAATTTTTTATTTTTTATATGACAGTTAACAATACAAAATATTTTTTTTTTATGATAGTTTAATTTATAGATTTTCAATATAAATCTATAATTAAGTGTACAATTTATGCTCATTATTATATAATTAGTTTACTATTCATTCATTCATACAAAATTATTTTTTCTTTGTTTTTTGTCTTTGTCAAAAAAAAAATTATACTCCCCCCGCCCCTAAATTAGAAGCCTATTTCTCTATATTATGCGAGTACTACTACTACTACAACTACTACTACTACTACTACTACTACTACTACTACTACTACCACCTACCTACCTGACACTTACCACTCACAGTTTATGTCAAATCGTTGCAAATAATATACTCCCTCCTTTTTTCTTTTTTTTTTTAATGCATCACTTTGACTTTTGCACTATTCACATACCATGGTTGACTTAATTTTTTCACCTCTATAAAATAAATAAATTTTATTATATAATATGTCATGAGTCATAATGTCTAGTTTCATCATATAATTTTGTTACAATTTTTACTAATAGTTTATAAAAGATATAAATGGTCAAAGTTGCGTCATGGTAAATGTGCCGGTCAAACTGATACAAATAAATAAATAAAAAAAAACAGAGGGAGTAAAACATAGGTATTATTATTATTATTATTATTATTATTATTATTATTATTATTATTATCATTATTATTATTTACTCCCTCTGTTTCATAATATTAGTCTCATATACTATTTTGGGCGTTTCAAAAATATCGGAATTAATTGGTTGTGGATTGATGATATAACACTAAGTAAGGAAATCTCTACCTTGAATTATGCAATTATGACTTATGCTTTTCCAAAAAAAAAAAAAATTAAATAAGGTAAACTAATTATGACTTATTTTATACTTTAATGTTAAATTTTAAATATTATTCTTTTTTTATTTTATATGATTGATTTTATATGATAACTAACATTATGAAACGGAGGAAGTTACTGATGGAGGGGGTGACTCCTGAATTTCAGGCTTATGTATTTGCCGATCCGTTATACCAGCGTTCTTATTAATAAAAATTAATAAATAAAAACCCATTTAATTCGTTAGCCAAAGAAAATTGTCAATCAAATTTCCCTCAAAATCGAACAAATCCCAAGTAACAAACCAAAAAGATTGCCCTATGTTATTCCAAACTCTAAAATATTGCTCGAAATCGATTTTGATTTCAATATTCTAGTTTCATCTTGTAATTTGTTGTAGTAGGAAGTATTATAGATTTTTTGGTACGGAGTATCATCTTGCAATATCTTAAAGTAGATTGAAGATAGCAGCGGGTAGATCGATGAAGAAACAAAGACAAGAAATTCCGGCATGTCGACTCAACTAGCTAATTGTTGTTCGTTAATCTGGTATTCTTCATCCCGTTTATAGTACTTGGTTTCTGAAATATTCTAATTTAATCAAATACCATCTATTCTATCAGATTTTATTTATTATGTATATTTGACATTACAATAATATGATGATTCTGGATATGTTGATAATACATCTAGATTTATTGTCTAATATATGGAATTAGATTATGAATTGTCTTAATCTCAGTATTGTTTTTTTTAATTCTTAGTATGACATGCTTGTTTCGGGGTTTTTTAGAGTCCCTCCGAATAGTTACAACTCTAGGAATGCGCGATCGACGTCCGTACCTGTAAAACCACGAAACTCCGGTTGGGTGGAGTTCCGCCTCCGACAATCAAGTTAGAATGATTCCGTATGGGTAAAAGTGCGGAAAGTAAATGGGTTTTTCTCCCTGATTCAGAGAGATTCCGCAATTAATATTGCTCGGTTTTTGTGTATGTATTTATGAATTGTTTCTAATAAATGAGGAATTTCCTCTATTTATAGCAGATGGAGATCTGTTCCCCCATTAGGGTTACAATGCCACGTGTCAGCATCCAATTGGATCACAATGGGCCTTTGAAGGGCTGCCACGTGTCAGCACGGTATTGGGCCACGTGGCATGGGGGGGGTTATCCCAAACATTTGCCCCTCACACGTGTCACATTTCGGGAAGGTGACGGTTCGTCTCCTTTCCTCCATTTTTTTTTAATTCGAATTTGGATTCGAGTTTGAAGGTGACGGTTTGCCTTCTGCCCCCCCCCCCCCTCCTATAAATTGGAGGCCTCATCCTCTCATTTGCTACTTTGCAAATTTTCACAAAAATCACTTGAGAGAAAAAAGCTCTGACACCGGCTGCTCATTCGTGCAACTAGCTTCTTCTTTCAGACGCATCCGGTTACCGGTTTAGTACTTTGACCCTTTCTAAGGTACCGTCTGACTTGATCAATTTCTTGATTTCAGTAGAGCTACAGCCGGTCTTACACCGTTTGGGGCACTTTTAAGCAATTTATTTCACCAATTGCATGCAATAGACCCACAACCGGTCTTACACCGTTTGGGGCACTTTTAAGCAATTTATTTCACCAATTGCATGCAATAGACCCACAGCCGGTCTTACATCGTCTGGGGCACTTTTAGGCAATTTATTTCACAAATTGTATTCCATAGATCCACAGCCGGAAATATTTCGTCTGGGGGTTCTTCAAACAATTGTCTTCGAAAACTTGCATTCAACAGACCTACAGCCGGAAATATTCCTCCTGGGGCATCTTCAAACAATTGCTCTTCAAAATTTGCATTTCATAGTCCCTCAGCCGGAAATATTCCATCTGGGGTATCTTCAAACAATTGTTTTTCAAAACTTACATTCAACAGACCTACAGCCGGAAATATTCCGCCTAGGGCATTATCTTCAAACAATTGTTTTTCAAAACTTCCATTTCATAGACCCTCAGCCGGAAATATTCCATCTGGGTATTTCTGAGCAATTTTCATAATTTGCTTTCTATTGACTCACAGCTGACCTTGTGCCGTCTGGGGCTGGGGCTGGGGCATATTCAAGCAACTTTTCTCTCTTTTTATTTTTTATTTTTTTTTTATTTGCTTTCATAAGACCCTCTGCCGTCTAGGGTATTTTTATGCAATTTTCTTCAAATACTGCATCTTATGGATCCTCAGCCGGTCTTATACCGTCTGGGGATATCTTGGAGCAATCTTCACAAAATGCGCTCCATAGATACCGTGTGGGGTATCTTGGAGCAATTTTTCAAAAAGCCACTCTACAGATACCGTCTGGGGTATCTCTGAGTCATCTTCAAAACTGCTTCCTATAGATATCGCTTGGGGTATCTTTGAGCAATCTTAAAAAATTGCATTCCATTTGATACCGTTTGGGGTATCTTTGACTGATCTTCTACGCAAACGCTTGACCG